GGGGGGGGGGGAAGAGAACATGATATTTTTATTACCTTTAATTACCCCAAACCTAAATTAGACAGGCCAACATTCTGTATTCTAGACTTTTAGGTTGGTACCTGCAGGCATGTGCACAATAGGTGCAAGACTGGATTTCAATTTGCAAATATAACTGAACACTTATTATGTGAAAGGGGTACGATGATCCTTCTCTGCTTCGTGGATCAGGAACTAATTAAGGGTATACTGTAAAAAGCAGCAAAACCAAGGTACAAATATAGGACTATAAATGATCAAAGAAATGAGAGATCAACTGTAATTAGAAGAGATTCAAGAAGACCAAACAGAGTAGGTGAGATCTGAGGCATGTTTTGGGAATGTTGATAAGCAGTTATGGGGTTGAGGGAAGCAAGGGAGTTATATCAAAAGAGAAAAGCTTGAGCAAAGGCACAGAGGAGACCAGAGTACAGTGTCCAAGGAATAGAGAGATCGGTGTGACAAACCTTACAGGAGTAGGTTATCAGGGGATCCAGGAGGGCTCTGAAAACTAGGCTAAGAAATCTGAATTAAAAAAATATATTTTTTTATTATCAACTATTTAAAAAGTACAGAGGGGTGCCTGGGTGGCTCAGTCGTCGAGCGTCTGCCTTCGGCTCAGGTCATGATCCCAGGGTCCTGGGATCGAGCCCTGCATCGGGCTCCTGCTCAGCAGGAAGCCTGCTTCTCCCTCTGCCACTCCCCCTGCTTGTGTTCCCTCTCTCGCTGTGTCTCTGTCAAATACATAAATAAAATCTTTAAAAATAAATAAATAGGGCACCCGGGTGGCTCAGATGGTTAAGCGTCTGCCTTTGGCTCAGGTCATGATCCCAGGGTCCTGGGATCGAGTCCCGCATCGGGCTCCCTGCTCCTTGGGAGCCTGCTTCTCCCTCTGCTTCCCTCTCTCTCTCTCTCTGTCTGTCATGAATAAATGAATGGAATCTTTAAAAAAATAAATAAATAAGTAAATAAATAAATAAAAATAAAAAGTACAGAAAAGTTCAAAAACTAGCACAGGAGTTGGCAAGCTATGGCCCCAGGCCCAATCTGCCCCTGCTGTTTTTATAAATAAAGTTTTGTTGGCACATATCCATGCCCATTCGGTTAAGCACCCTGTGTGGCGGCTTTGGGCTCTAGTGGCTGAGCTGCAGAGGTGACTAGCTGCCAGAGGCTGTACTCGCTGGCAGAGCCTAAAATACTTCCACATTAGCCTTCTCAGAAAGGCTGCTGACTCCGCGACTAGCGCAATGCATGACCACATATCCTCTACCGACAGTCAACAATTGTCAATATTCTGCTATTTTTGTTTTATCTACTTGTATGTATGTGTTTTCTCAACCATTTTCAGATAAGCTGTGGGCAGTGGTATGCTGGTAAATTACCTCTCCAGGGTAGCATTTGCAGATTTTTGTGGTATAAAAACTCCCATCATGGCTGATTTCAAGCTCCCAAGGGCTGTGGAATCACAAAATTCTGAAATATTTAACAATAGGCTCTGAGCTGGTAGGACTTGGCTTGAACACATGTTGGGCTGCAGGATGTTTCACTTTTGTTTTGAAATGCAGCTCTTAAGAACATTCTCCTACATAACCAGAATATTATTATTACAACTAGGAAAGTTAACAATAATTCTCCACCATTATGTAATATCTAGTACACGGGCAAATTTCCCCAGTTGGCTCTAAAATGTCTTTTTTAGTCTTTTTTTTCCCTGAATCATGATGAATCCTGGTTCACACATTGCATTCATTCGTTATGACACTTTAATATTTTCTCCCCTATGCCATTTCGAAAGGACCAGACTGTGTTGTGCACTGTTTTGCATTCTGCATTTCTCTCTCTCTCTTTTTTAAAAGATTTTATTTATTTATTAGAGAGCACAAGCAGGGGGAGCAGCAGAGGGAGAGGGAGAAGCAGGCTCCTGGCTGAGCAGGGAGCCCGCTCGGAGATTGATCCCAGGACCCTGGGATCATGACCCGAGCCGAAGGCAGACGCTTAACTGACTGAGCCACCCAGGGGTCCACATTCTGCATTTCTCTGACTGCTTCATTTACTTTATTACTTTATAAACCTTATTCAGCTAGGCCCAACTGAATACTTGATAGTGACTTGTAAGGTACTTAATTCTTACAATGAAGGGTAGTTCAGATTAGGGAAAAATAGCACCTGGGAGG